TTTTATTGTTTAAAGCGGCATCTTACCACCTCCAATGGACAGTGCAAATGGGTCCTGATGTTTCCTCCCCTCATTTTGGTGAAACTGCTTGGAACACAGCTTGTTTCATCAGATGATGTGTCTTCCTGAAATTCACATGCAGAGTGGTGAATGGAGAGTTGAAAGAAATGTGGAAAGAACAGACTTCAAATGGTGACAGACGGGAATTGCTCCATCGTTTGCTATCCAGCAGAAGTCCACTTGCAGTCTCCCTTCAGGGTTCCTTCAGGTAGTGCCACGACATTCTGGGATCAAATTAGAAACTGGGGCGACTGTCCCTGGAAAATAGGAGCACTTGGAGGGTTTGCTTTCCCTGTGGGGTCATTTTACAGTACATTTCCCTCTGAATTCACCTCCCATATCTCCAACCACCTATAAGTGGTGGGCTGACAAAAGCAATCGTGATTTCATTTTATTTTATTGGCAGCTGCGTAGGTGAGATGCGCCCACAGGGCACAAATGTTGGCAACTCGATTCTGTGTCTCCAGCTGGCCCTGCCTGCCCCCAGACTCCAGGGGCTGCTCCCCCCCCTCCAGAAACTGCCTCTTTCCCCTCATTTGCCATGTCCGTTTGTGACATCACAGGGAGTTGGTGGATGTCTATGACATCACAGGGGAGCCCGTAGCCAATGGCCACAGCTGGGGAAACATCTCCACAGCCCTCGCTGGCCTCACAATGGGGGGGCACCTCAGCAATTATTAAAAATGAGGTGACCCCCCCCCATTGTGAGGCCTGGGAGGACTGTGCAGATGTTTCCCTAGCTGTGGCCATTGGCTACCAACTCCCTGTGATGTCACAAGGGGGTGCAGCCCCCTCTTCCTGTGACATGACTACTTAGAGATTTCCCATACAATAAAAACATGGCACAAAACACAGATTTCTTTTCAGAAAACGTTTATTTTTAATAAAAATTAGAAAGCCGTTTATTTAGAAAATGGGAGCTGTCTGGCTTAAGTCCTGCGGTTCTCTTCATGACTTTCACGGCTGGTCTCGGGGGAAACCTTGCCGGCTCCAGCCATCCCTGAAAGGCAAAGGCAAACAGATGAGTGGGGTGGCCCACCATCTGACAGCGTCCACCCAGACCCCTTGCCTTCTCCTTGCTCCACAGCATCCCAATGCCAGGCGATCTCCTTCCGCTTGCCAGCCTGCCGCCACTGTCTGGTCTTGGGGAAAACCTCGCCGGCATTGGATGTCCCTGAAAGGCAAAGGCAAACACGTTGATGGGATGGCGACTATCACAGCGTCCACCCAGACTCTTCCACAGGCTTTGGTCTGACAACTTCATCCCTGACTGGCCTGCCCCGTCAAGGCAGGTTGCAGAAGTGGAGGGCCACCAGTTTGAAGCGGTAGATCCACATGGGACTACACTGGTTTCCCTGCTTTCCACCTCTAGGGCTGTGCCGGGTAGTTGCCCTCCTCGCTTTGGCCGTCGACGTAAGGTCAAGAGCTCTACGAATGTCAGCAAGCTGACATTCTCAAAAGGTAGGTCTGTTGACCTTAGGTTGAGGGCCAAAGACAAAGGTGAGTGCCACCAGATAGCGTTCACAAATGGATCGGCCAGCTTCACAGGCTCTCGGCCTGCACTGACATCCCCAAATGTGAACCTGGCTTCACCAAGGCGCCACCACTAGAAGCCGATGGGCAACTCTCCCTCACCACAGAATTCGCCAAGGGACACTCACCCGCCGCCAAAGGGGCAGCTTCCCTCCTCGGTTTGTCCGCCTGTTAATAAACAAACTAGGCTTCCAAACCCGCTTGCATCCCCTCGGCCAGTCTTGTAGCCTTGCGGCATCAACCAGGCACTGAATGCAAACCTTCCGGCAATCCGTCCACCACCAACAGCCGCGCCAGGTCCATTGCCAGACCTCCCCCTGCTTCAGACCTGAATTTCATCCACCTTCAAGTGCGATCCCACCAGCAAGTAAACCTCAACTTGCCTTCTCCTTGCTCCACAGCATCCCAACGCCAGGCGATCGCCTCCTTCCGCTTGCCAGCTTGCCGCCACTGTCTGGTCTTGGGGAAAACCTCGCCGGCATTGGATGTCCCTGAAAGGCAAAGTCAAACACGTTGATGGGATGGCGACTATCACAGCGTCCACCCAGACTCTTCCACAGGCTTTGGTCTGACAACTTCATCCCTGACTGGCCTGCCCCGTCAAGGCAGGTTGCAGAAGTGGAGGGCCACCAGTTTGAAGCGGTAGATCCACATGGGACTACACTGGTTTCCCTGCTTTCCACCTCTAGGGCTGTGCCGGGTAGTTTCCCTCCTCGCTTTGGCCGTCGACGTAAGGTCAAGAGCTCTACGAATGTCAGCAAGCTGACATTCTCAAAAGGTAGGTCTGTTGACCTTAGGTTGAGGGCCAAAGACAAAGGTGAATGTCACCAGATAGCGTTCACAAATGGATCGGCCAGCTTCACAGGCTCTCGGCCTGCACTGACATCCCCAAATGTGAACCTGGCTTCACCAAGGCGCCACCACTAGAAGCCGATGGGCAACTCTCCCTCACCACAGAATTCGCCAAGGGACACTCACCCGCCGCCAAAGGGGCAGCTTCCCTCCTCGGTTTGTCCGCCTGTTAATAAACAAACTAGGCTTCCAAACCCGCTTGCATCCCCTCGGCCAGTCTTGTAGCCTTGCGGCATCAACCAGGCACTGAATGCAAACCTTCCGGCAATCCGTCCACCACCAACAGCCGCGCCAGGTCCATTGCCAGACCTCCCCCTGCTTCAGACCTGAATTTCATCCACCTTCAAGTGCGATCCCACCAGCAAGTAAACCTCAACTTGCCTTCTCCTTGCTCCACAGCATCCCAGCGCCGGGCGATCGCCTCCTTCCTCCGGCCAGCTTGCCCCACGGGGCAGGAGACCACCCGAGCTGAGTGCCTCCACTGAGGCAACTGCCTCGGCCTTTGACTTGGCCAGCATTTATACCCTCTCAGCTGCCCAATGTTTTTGTGACCTCACAATGGCAGCATCTGGGGAGGCATCCCCATCACCCCTCAGACCTCACAATGAGGGGCGCAGCTCAGCAGCCATTGGCTCCTTGGCTTTTGACCAAGGAGATATATAACACCCCCCTCCCCATTTGTGCCAGTATCTGTCAAGGCCACACCGGAAACCCAGTGGGGCAGGAGGGGGCATTTGTTAGCTTGTCACATGTGCTATGTCTCAGACTGGTTAAATTGTCAGTAGAGGGTTTTGGAGAGCCTGTAGATTCTGTAGGAGTGCATGATGACCCTGTTGAAGAGATCAGCCACAGCTAAGAAGCGGCAGGTGGCGTTTTCCCGGGCACACTCAGCACCAGCCAAGCGATCAATCACGCAGTGCCACCGGCGGAGACGCACCAATCGTAGTCCTCCCTGCCCACCCAGGGGCTGCCTCTTACCTTCCTTGGCGGAGCATTGGTTTTTTTAAAAAAAATATAATCTTTATTAGCTTTCCAAACTTTATACTTCAAATACATATTATATTACATTTTACATTTATAGTGTGCTCCTACGAGCTGACTACTTCTGACTTCTTTATGTCGCTTCCAAATTTTTCGTATTGTCTTTATCCATTCTCTATATTGTTGTTCTGCTTACACATTTGTCCATAAAACGTAAAATGCTGTTTACCTTCCCGCCAGAGCAGTACCTATTTATCTACTTGCACTTTGACGTGCTTTCAGACTGCTAGGTGGGCAGGAGCAGGGACCGAGCAACGGGAGCTCACCCCGTCGCGGGGCTTCGAACCGCCGACCTCTGATCGGAAAGTCCTAGGCTCTGTGGTTTAACCCACAGTGCCACCCGCAAAATCTTGGCATTTATTAATATATTGAGTTTAAGGTGGGGAGGGGGTCATTCCCCCAAGCTTGTAACAATGTAACTGCGGCTGAAGGTAAAGGTACCCCTGACAATTAAGTCCAGTCACGAACGACTCTGGGGTTGCGCGCTCATGTCGCTCTGTAGGCTGAGGGAACCGTTGTTTGTCCGCAGACCGTTTTTCCGGGTCATGTGACCAGCATGACTAAGCCGCTTCTGGTGAAACCAGAGCAGTGCATGAAAATGCCGTTTACCTTCCCGCCGGAGCGGTACCTATTTATCTACTTGCACTTTGAGGTGCTTTCAAACTGCTAGGTTGGCAGGAGCTGGGACCGAACAACAGGAGCTCACCCCGTCATGGGGATTCGAAGGCTGTGGTTTAACCCACAGCGCCACCCACATCCCCATTCGTCCATAAATTCTCTGTAAATAAATAAACCCTTCTATAAATACAATTCTTGTCTATCTATATATTATTTGCAACCACCATTGGTTACTTTGATTACATTGTACTTCTTATTGTCATTATTATTATTATTAGTCCAATAAAAGTACTTATATTACACATTATGAAGTTTATTTCAATTCTTCCGGGATCTCTATTTCACACACATCTTTCCTATGTACAACATAAACTTCTTCCATTCTTTTTGAAATGTTCCATAACCTTGTTCTTCAATTTCCCCCGTTAATTTGGCTATTTCCGCATTGACTATCTCTCTATGGTCGCACTTGGCTCCGCCCCTTCCGGGCACGAGGGCGGGATTTCCCTTCGCTGTCCCGCCTTAAAGCTGCGGGGCGGGAAGAGCAGCCTTAAAAACACGCGGTTCATTTCGTTTCGTCATATTCCAGCGCTCGCCCCCTCTCTGCCATTGGCTGTTCGGGAGCGAGAGCTTCCCTATTGGTCCTCCCGCCTTTCCAGCCCCTGCTCTTCACAAAGGGGCGGGTTCCGGAGCCCGCGAAGCGAAGGACGTTGTCGCGGTTCCTCATTGGCTACCTCGATCGCGAGTCCCCTCTTTCCATTGGCCGCTCGCTTCCAGGATGGGGGCGGGAAGCAAAGCGAGGCGGGCTGCTGCCCTGCTATTGGCCGCTCTCACTTTTGGCGGGAGGGCGCGAATCGCCGCCGCGCGCGCGAAGTGGGCGTCTCCCGGAGGAAGGGGCGGGGCCTCGCCGCTCTTTCTCTAATGCGCGCGCGCTCTTTCGGTTTGCTCCGCGTTCCAGGCCGAGGCGACGTCGACGGCGAGGCTCATTCCGCCTCACAGCGCTGAGGCGGCAAGAAGCAGGGGGTCTTCGCTGCCGCCGGACTGACTGACTCCCCCCCCAGCCTCGCCTCATGGAGCCCGGCGGCCTTGCCCCGCCGAGGCTCTCTCACCGCCGCCGCCTCCTCCTGCAGGACCAGCCGCGCTGCCCCGCTCCGCAGGGTCGCGGAGGCCTCCCCGAACCCGCCGGCCTCGCTCGCGCCGCCGACCGCCGGAGGAGCCTGGGCTGCGGCGGGTAAGGCAGGCGGCCGACCTCGACTTCGGCGCCTCACGCCTCGCTGTGTGGTGTTGGGGGGGGCCTTTGTCCGGCCAGACGCCGCAGAACTCCAACTCCCATCATGCTTTGCCGTCGGCCGCGCTCGCTGGGGCTGATGGGAGTTGGAGTTCGGCGACGCCGCACACCTGGCTTTAGAAGCCGCTTGGTCTATCCATCGAGCAGCCTTGGTGGGACTAAGTATATAAACCAAATAGGGCTGTTATATTTATTATTATTATTATTATTATTATTATTATTATTATTATTATTATTATTATTAATACTGATAATTATTATTGCTAATTATCATTAATTATTATGCCGCGCTCTTCCTCTGAAGCAGGACAAGGTGGCGTACATGGTTCTCCTCGCCACGTCTCTCTATTTCTCTATTTTCCCCTTTATCTGCACACACAACAGCCTTGTGAGAGATTAAGCTGAGAGAGAGCAACTGGCCCAACGTGAGCTTCCTAGTTCAGTGGGGAATTGAACCCTGGCCCAACACTCTTGAGCACTATACCAGTTTGAGCCTCATTCTCCTGCTTTAGAATTGGATAGAATAATAATTGGTTATTATTTTGCTGTTTTATTTATTTGATACGCTAATACAATGGTGCCTCGCAAGACGAAAATAATCCGTTCCGCGAGTCTTTTCGTCTAGCTGTTTTTTCGTCTTGCGAAGCAACCCTATTAGCAGATTAGCGCTATTAGTGGTTTAGCGGCTATTAAAGGCTTAGCGGCTAAAAGGCTATTAGCGGCTTAGAAAAAAGGGGGGGAGCGAAAAAAATCGCAAGACTTGCAAGACGTTTTCGTCTTGCGAAGCAAGCCCATAGGGAAATTCGTCTTGCGAAGCGCATCGAAAAACAGAAAACCCTTTCGTCTAGCGGGTTTTTCGTCTTGCGAGGCATTCGTCTTGCGGGGCACCACTGTATTACACCATTTCTCCAGGGAGTTCCAGGTGGTTTCCATGCTTCCACTCCCAACTCGCTCCATTTTTTCTCTCAGCCTTTGAGGTAGATTAGGCTGGCCAAGTGACATAGCCCAGGGTCACCCAGTGAGCTGAGTGAGGATTTGAATGCTAATATTTCTGGTTTATGATAGCCACTTTGCCACCCTGGTTTTCTTAAGTGCGTAACTGATCTCAGCATGGAACCCCTTTTATGCAGCATTTTTTATTTATGTACTTTCATTTGCGTTTATGTAAAGTGGCATTATGTTCCATTTGGTTGCCCTGAGAAGGCTTCTTCACAATGATGTGTGATGTAACAGTAATGTATCTGATTATTTGCAGCTCAAGTGAAAATTGTGTACAAACGTCGGAAGAAAAGAATGTCAATCTGCAAAGGACGTCGTCTTCTGAATCTACAGATTCTGGTTTGTTTGCCTTCAGCTATAATAATAAATTTTATTTATATCCCGCCCTCCCCATCCAAGACCGGGCTCAGGGTGGCTAACAACCTATAACAAAACAAGTTGATTAAAATACAATTTTAAAAAACAAGATTAAAATACAACAATAAAACATTAGGATGCAGCTTCTTCACAGGAGGAGAAAGGAAAAAGAAAGAGGGGGAGGGAATCAAACTGATTCTAAGCCAAAGGCCAGGCGGAACAACTCTGTCTTACAGGCCCTGCAGAAAGAAATCAGATCCCGCAGGTCCCTGGTCTCATGAGACAGAGCGTTCCACCAGGCCAGGACAGTGTTGAGAAGGCCCTGGCTCTGGTTGAGGCTAATCTAACTTCCTTAGGGCCCGGGACCTCTGGGGTGTTACTATTTAAGGACCTTAAGGTCCTCCGTGGGGCATACCAGCAGAGGTGGTCCTGTAGGTACGAGGGTCCTAGGTCGTGAAGGGCTTTAAAGGTTAAAACCAGCACCTTAACTCTGACCCTGTACTCCACTGGGAGCCAGTGCAGCTGGAAAAGCACTGGGTGAATATGCTCCCATATAATCCAAAATCCACTGGGCTTGACAATAAACTTCTCTGTAGTTTTAGTTGGGAAGTTCAACTAGCATCTGAGCTAGGAGCTTACTTGATTGGTCCAAATGTAGCTTTCTTACTCCAAATGATTTGGAGGATTGGGACCATGTTGTAAGCCAGCACTCCCAGTTCTTTCCTTGGTTTCCTGGTTTGATTCCACCATAATTTCCCTGAGCCAGGGCAATGATGGCCTACAGATCAGGACTGGAAGCCCAGTTCTAACAGTGATTGATTACTCAGTTGAGATGTAACATCATTGTTTTTCTGATTGGGAGAAAGGGGAACACTAAGATCCAAGACTTAGTATGAGCAGCCAAACCATAAGATGGCTGTTATATGTGAACAATAAGCTTCAATATGTCAGCGGTCCATTTACGTAATGGGAACAGTACTGACCTAATATCTTTGTCTGCATGTTTTGTCACTTTCTACAAAAATCTGTGCAAGTTGTAAGATTATTTCTTTCACAGGTTGCTGTATGGATTCTCCTACACAGCTCGGCATGAAAAACCTTGATGAAATGTATGTAGAAATACACTGGGTTTTTTTGGGTTTTTTTTTTTTTTGCTTGGGGTTTGTATGAAACTGGTTCAGGGCATCCTAAAAGAGTCTGCTTTGGAGCAGCTTGTGTTAAGCAAAAAATGCATTTGGAAGGTGTGAGAGTATTGAGTATTTCAGAACCCTGGTACTTCAAATTAGCAAGACTGGTGTAAAACGTTTTTGGTTGTAGCTCTGTAGCTAAGGCTGCATGATAGGTTCCCCTCTGTTTTCTGGCACAATGTTTATGGGAATGTCTCATTCTTAGACTTTAGTACTCACTCACCAAGGCACAGAAGAGGGATGTGTATGCACTCTCACACTCAGGAACATGTCACGCTTGCCAGAATGTTGGGTCACTGTCAGTGTGATATTATTTTAGCTAAATGAGTCATTCCTAGGTAGTCTATCATTTTAGCTTGGATGTTGAAATTTAACTTGAAAATCTATGTTAAGGCATGTGCATTTTTTTGTTCTTGCAGTTTTAGAGTACCCATGCGAAGAATGCACTCCCTCCCGGTAAGTGAAGCTTAGGAAGGAAACCTTCCTTTGTCCCTTTCTCAGCTGAATTTCACACTATGCAGAACTGTCAGATTATGTAAACTTAATGAATAAAGCTTGAAAAGTCTTGCGTGTTGTCTGTCAGGCTCCTGGAAATCTCAGTGTTGACATTAAGGGATTTGAATATCTTACACAGAGCTGGATTCTTAGTGTATTTTTGGTTTAATTTTGCACACACCTAATTTAATGACTCATTGATTATTATTAATAATAGTAATTATTATTCGTATCCCACCTATCTGACTGGGTTGCCCCAGCCAATATAGCTTCCAGTATATATAAAAACATAATAAAACATTGAACCTTAAAAAGCTACCCTATACAGGGCTGCCTTCAGATGTTTCTTAAATGTTATATAATTACTCATCTTCTTACCTGATGGGAGGGCATTCCACAGGGTGGGCTCCACTACCGAGAAGGCCCTCTGCCTGGTTCCCTGTAGCTTAACTTCTTGCAGTGTGGGAACTGCCTGAAGACCCTCAGAGCTGGACCTCAGTGTCCTGGCTGAACAATGAGGGTGGAGACGCTCCTTCAGGTATACTGGGCCGAGGCCATTTAGGGCTTTAAAAGTCAGCACCAACACTTTAAATTGTGCTCAGAAGCACACTGGGAGCCAATGTAAAATATGTATGTACTCTTCTCCATCCTTAGGCATGATCACCTGAAAAAATTACAGTTTGAAACTCCCAAGTTTGCTTAATATTGTATTGGCACTCACTAGTTTTAAATGAGGCATTTTATGAAACAACAAATGCATAGAAATAGTGATTTATTTTCCCCCCCCCGTGGAAAAACAAAGCCCTGGGAAAATGTTCACTTTTAGAAATCCTCCTTCCCTACATCACTTGCTCTTGCTCCGGGTCCTAGCCAGCTCTGCCCACCTCCCAATTCCAATCCACCCGTGTTCTTGTTCAGCTAGCATGCTGTGGTCCATGGCTACTGTCATTGGCCCAGATTTTATGTTTTTCAATTGAATTGGGTCCTGCTGTTCTATTGGTTGCTCATCATGACAAAAGAGGAGAGCTGGAACCTGACTCTGCATTTGCTTCTCCCACCTTTGCAGCAGAGCCTTTTGGGATGCAGCCCTGCTCTGAAGAGGAGCCACTTAGATTTGCTCAGTTGTGATGTCTTCCAGGGATGCGGCCCTGAGGAGAACAAAGAGAATGTAAGTTTATTTCATTAATTTCCTTATCTGGTGAAGATGGCCATGGCTATGCCCCAAGGGCTGGAACTGACGTCCATATGTAAGAGGGAAGTGTAACAGGGTTAGAGTTGTAAATGAGTGTTGCTGCAGGCACTGTGTTCCAGCTTAAGTGCTTTTTGCTGTTGTAAAATCCTAGATGTGAAATACTTGATGGAATGTTATTGGTAGAGCATTCATTTGGATATTTACAGGAGCACTTTCCATGTGATAAGAGTAACTTCAGCCAGTGTGTTGAAAATCATACTGAATTGCTTCAGCCATTTTGCTCCTTCTGTTTCCTTCCTAAAGTTGCTGGAGAAGGGCCCCAATTAGTTTTTGTGTTTGAATCTGATGCTGTTTGTCCCAGGGTGGTGGTAATTTTTCTTTGCACTGATGTATTCATGGAGAATTTAGAGCCATGATAAATAGCTGCATGTGGTGCTTCATTTAAATGTGAATAGGCATACATTTTAAGCTTTGCTTAGGTGTTCCACCTGAGATGCATATCTGCTATGGGCTGAACTTGATTTCATTATAGGAAGATGAGTGGGGGCGAAAAAGGCTACAGAAAGACTGGGTGTGGTAGAACAAAAGAGCTGATCTAGATTAGATTTCTCTTGAACGCTGCAGGACTCTAGACCAAAGGCTCTAGAACTGAAGGTTTATTTCCTGGCCTTTTGAGCTCTAATGAATTGGTAAAATGGCTGTCTTGTTCCCTTTCCCTAAGGAACCATTTGAATTCAAAAAGCCAACAAAGCCTGCTTCTCGTACCAGTCTACGTACCTCTTCCCTTGAAGATGAAGGGTTGAGGCAGGAGCCCGCCACAACACTTTTGGTATGTAATATTAGTGTAGTCTCTGTGTTCAGCCTTGAGATAGAGATTCCTGTCCCAGAATATTGTGGTGCTAATTACTATGCCCAAACCTGGGACCAACTCAGTCAGAAATGGCAGGAGAGCCTCAAAAGTCAGAAATACTGTTAGAAATCAAGATTTGGAAAAAAACATGCTTCTGCATCAGGTGCCAGATTGTAAGCTCAGCTCTTTGTACGCCTGCAGTTTCTAACTGCATGGAATGAGACAATGTGCTGAAGAGGACAACTTGGAGGTACACAAACCAAGTGAGTCTTCATTATTTGCATGCCATGAGGACACTGGACAGCCGTCGCGGAGCCCTCATGTAATCATTTGGCAAGATCTGATTGTAGGAGGCCACATCTTTCTGCATCTTGGTTTTGCAAGCAGATTTAGCTGATTTTTAGGCAGCTGGGTCTATGCATTTAGTGTATTTGGGTTTACAGAGTTGTGATTCTAGTTACCCAAGCAAGCCAGGAGAATGCCCTGTCTGTGAACTGTTCTTTATTCCTCTCCTGATATTCGCCTCAAAGTGAAGCCATAATCCTATGAGGGAAGACTGAATGAATGTCGACCAATAAAATATCATCTGTTTTAGTTTCATAGTGGAAAAGCTGACAACTATCAAGAAAGCTTCAGTCCAGCATTCCTGAGGCCGCTGTCTCGAGGGGCCTCAGAAACTGAGGAAGATGATGACGATGATGGATTCTTAGAGATAATGGATGGTCCAGATGTCTGCGTAAGTGATGATGAAAACACCTCTGTATTAAATACTTTAAAAACTAAAAGTTCCCCAGCTAGGTGGTTTGTGTTGGGTACAGCCATTTTCATCCTGTCTAAAGATGGCCAGTACCGTAGATACTGCACTTGATAATTGATATAACTAGGCTTTTTCAAATTCCTTGGTTTGCCTATTTTGGGTGAAAACATGGAGATAAGTGGACTTGAGCAGTAACCTCTCTTGTTTTAGTAATTCATTGGTTGGTTGGGTTTCCAGCAGCTTTCATCAGTAACACATAATTAGACAGAGCTAAAAGGCTCATGCCTTGCTGCATAAATGCAAAAAGTGATGATACCGAATAGCCTACCAGGGGAAGGAAATTCCAAAGATGTTGTGCCACAGGAAAAGCGTATCCTTAGTCAGACCCTTTTTACCGCAGGAGCAGGTGGAACACAGAATAGGGCTTTTGAAGCACATCTGTGGGAAAGCAAACTCAAAATGGGAGGGAGCAATACTGAAAATAGTTTAGGCCAGCGACTTTTGGCCCACCATGTGTTGCTAAGCTTCCACTTACTTCCTCCCTGACCAATGGCCATGCTGACTGCGGATGAAGAGATTTGGAGTCCCAACAACATCAGGGGAATTTCTCACCCCTACCCTGTCTTAGAATTTAAAGATAAATACCAGCACTGACTACTCTAGGAAACAACACTGAAGCCCCATGCACATTTTGCAAGTTGGGTGTGATGTATTCATTGAAATTTGACCCACACAGCAAACTCAACACTCTATTTTGGTCCAGTGGACATTTCTGAGTAGTCTGCAAATGCACTCCACGTATAACTTACGACAATAATTTAATTTAATCTTGATAAGTGGCAAAGTCCCTCCTGTCCAAGAAGAGTCACCATTTCACTTGCTACTAATGGTGTTTTCCCTGCTTAATAACTGACCTTTTAATTTTATTTTAGAACGATGGTGAGATGCCCTCTGACGTGGCCAGCCTTTGGACAGCTCCTCTAGTCATGAAGAAAGGGGACGATGCCCATGTAAGTTGGTTATTTTAGTCTTCTGAATAGTGCTTTTAAAACCCTTTGTTGCTTTCAGTGGAGCTTATTTTCTGATATTCAAGAGGTGTTCACTTTTTGTGCTGTTTCTCTTGAATACGTTCAAGCATATGACATCTACTCCACAGTTGGTCTATCTGTGTCTTTGGAGCTTGTGTTTCTTTGTGTGTGGTTGTGTGTTCTGGCCAAGATGCAAGACGGAAGTAGAGCTCTCTTCCACTTCCATGGCCATGCCAGTCCTTTTGGATTCCACTTGGTGCCTCGCCTCGCCAGAGAGATTAACTGTGGCGGGAAACATTGCATTGCTCCTGCAACGGAGGCAGCTGTTCCTTCAGCATTTTCAGAGTGGGTGGATGAGGTATAAGTAATTACGTGTGGTCGGTTGCTCTTTGTTGATGCCTTTGGCTGCCTGGCAGGGACGCGAGTAGCGCTGTGGGTTAAACCACAGAGCCTAGGATTGCCGATCAGAAGTTCGGCGGTTCGAATCCCCGCAACAGGGTGAGCTCCTGTTGCTCGGTCCCTGCTCCTGTCAACCTAGCAGTTCAAAAGCACGTCAAAGTGCAAGTAGATAAATAGGTATGGCTCCGGCGGGAAGGTAAAGGGCGTTTCCGTGCACTGCTCTGGTTTGCCAGAAGCGGCTTAATCATGCTGGCCACATGACCCGGAAGCTGTACGCTGGCTCCCTTGGCCAATAAAGAGAGATGATCGCCACAACCCCAGAGTTTTCTGCGACTGGACCAGGGGTGGTCAGGGGTTCCTTTACCTGCGAATGGTCAGGGGTTCCTTTACCTTTGGCTGCCTGGCAGTCCTAATGCTGCTTTGGTTTTTGTGCAGAATAAACAGTGCAGGTTGCTGGGCATGGAAAGCGAGCCGTACAGCATGGCCAAAGCTGCCCTGAAGAGAACGGGACGATCCCCAGAAGAGAACTCTCCCTATTTCATCAAGAGGAAAAGAAACGTCTGCAAGGCATCTTCTGAAGAACTAACGGTTGGTGGCTGAGCACCATACACTGACTGCAGCCTGCTTAATTTGTTTGTGTTCATATTGGACTCTTAACTTCAAGCAAAGCCTGTTTGCCTTTGATACTGGTTGTGAGAGGCCTTCCCTCTGGCATGGTGTGCTGTTCTCTGAAGGGCGTGGGAACCCTGATCAGCAGGCACTCTTCTAAATCTTGAGGAGGAAAGGGGCTTAATGTGCGGATGGGAACAAATGCAAAGATCCTTAGGGATTTGGTTGCAGAACCAAGCAGGGGCAGGGGTGACTTCGAGGTCTGAGGGAAGGCCCTTAATGTGTTTCTTAAAATTCCAGCATATTTCCTTTTCCTTCTGACTTTCTATATTTCCATGGAGTTCATTGTATTCCTTTGTGATTAAGAGAATCACAATACTAATGTTTTGCTTGAGGTTTCCCTTCCTCTAGTTTCAAGTCCTTCCCATCCTTTCTGCTTGTTCTTTCTAGCATACCTTTGGAATAATAGAAAACTGCCACTGCTTCTCCCTGTACTTCCCACACGTTTCACTTTTCCCCTTAACCCAGGGGTTCCAAAGTTCCCTTCTCACCAAACCCACCCCTTCAGAGGAACTGGTCTCCCAAGACCCTCCTTCTGTGCTTCATTCCTCTTTTTCTCAACGCAGGCTTTCAACACATTCTCCTCCACCCTTTCTTCCTAATTCCCTTTACGCTCTTCATCCTTGAGGTTCTGCAAACCTTTCTAGCTGATCAGCATAGGCAAAAGCAGTTGTGGAAAGGATGCTTCCGCTGCTGCAAGCTTTACATGAACTTGGTCTTTCATCATCTCACATCTGCTTCCCCCTTGTTTCTTTAGAGCCTGGTGCTGATTGACCCAAACTCATTGTTCGAGAACTCAACGGAAATAGAGAGCATTTTGGACAATGACGCAAGGGATCTTATTGGAGATTTTTCAAAGGTAATGCTGGTGACCTTTCCTCTTTTGCCATTCTGTGGCTTGTGTGGGACAAGTGCAGGCCGCTCATGTGTTCTGCTGTTTTCCTCACTCTGAACCAGGCCTCCGTTTTGTCACCTTAGGCTTACCTTTTCCATACTGTAGACGGGAAGCATCAAGATCTGAAGTATATTGACCCAGAAATGGTAAGCAGCACAGGCTCTTCTCACAAAAAGAAATGTTTGCTTCACATGGATTGCAAACTTGGTTTGTCTGCAGGCCACCTGTGGAGTCCAGAGAAGGCAGAGGGGTGGGGTATTTATGCAGCTAGACTGTTCTGCCAGTTAAAACAAAACAAGTATGTTTTTAAAGTAATGGGGCAACGTCCTCGAGGTCTAATGCTTGACCCTTTTCCTCCCCTCCAGATTGTTGACGTGTTGAATGGCAAGTTTTCAAACTTCATTAAGGAGTGCGTGATAATTGACTGTCGATATCCCTATGAATATGAAGGAGGCCACATCAAGGTATGGGGGGAAGTTGAGAGGCACCTGCTCAAGACTGGCATCCTGATTAGTCTGGGCATAAGCAGAAAACATTAGAGTGAATCCCAAAGCTAGGCATGTCCCAAATACTAGGCATTGTCACTTCTGACTAAGTTTCAACTTGTGCTGGTCACTTTCACGGTATCCCGAAAAACACTCACTTCAAAGGTAAGGGTTTTTAGGCCTCCTTTGCAGGGAAAGATCCCCTTGGCTGATTTTCCTAAAACAGGGGAGGAAGGTGTCTTTATGGCAGGGCAGGGGAGAGAGATCAAGTGAGGGGACAGAAGATGTACAGTCTTACCTTGGAAGTTGAACAGAATCCGTTCCAGAAGTTTGTTCAACTTCCGAAATGTTTGACTTCCAAAGCGTGGCTTCTGAGCCAATTGGAAGCCCCGTCGGATGTTCAGCTTCCAAAAGAACGTTTTGCTTTCTGGTGGGAGGCTGAACAAAAAGTAACTGCTTTTATACAGAGCCATTGTAGTGACGTCTGAGAGGATGCAGTGATGCTGGAGAAAACTGAATAGCATATTACGAAGCATCTGTTTCGTGTTCTCTGCTTCTAGACGTCCTATTTATAACTTGGGCTAGGGAGGGGAAGATGGGCCACATCAGATTTGATGAAGTGAAGGGCCATAAGGGCTGACTAAAGTTGTTGACCTTTTTTTAGGATTGTAGTTGTTGAGGTTTTTTACCCCAGGAACTAAACTGCCACAGGGGCCAGATTAAACGGACCGGCGGGCCAGATTGGGCCACCAAAACGGACTTTGGACATGCCTGCCCTTTTCATCTTCTAAGACTTAAGTTATCATGACAGATCTCAAGTGAATATGGATACTGTTTTAATGCAGTGCTTGGGGCAACAGGTCCTGTTGGGTGCTGTGCCATAACACGCACACAACCCGCAATTGACCTGCCTTCTCTCACCAGTGTCTCTTCCTTCTCAGGGTGCTGTAAACCTTCACATGGAAGAGGACGTGGAGGACTTTTTGCTGAAGAAGCCCATCGTGTCATCGGACGGCAAACGAGTCATCATCATTTTCCACTGCGAGTTCTCTTCAGAGCGGGCCCCACGGATGTGAGTACATGAATGCTCCCCTTTGCATAGGTTGGGAACTTGGAGGACTTGTGGTGTTACGTGGAGACGTGATTGGATGGACAATAATTGATACTTAATAGTGGAATAGGGTAAGTGAGAATTGATAGCCCAAGAAGATAATGAGACTAGGTGGGTACAGGAATGGAAGGGTTTTAAGAAGCAGGCGCTGGTGCATTCCTATGCGCTCCAAGCATTTCTTTAATAATTGTCATTTTGATGCTTGGCGTCACAGTCCCCCTCCTGTTAGAAATGGCATCCACATACATCACTTACGGAGGGTTTTGAGGCTCTTTCCCATCTGTTACAGGTGCCGATTTGTGAGGGAGAGAGACCGACTTGGCAACAGCTACCCCACTCTGCATTATCCTGAACTGTATGTTCTAAAGGGAGGATACAAGGATTTCTTCTTAAAATGCAAAGTAAGTGTCTTTTTACCCAGCTTCCATTTCTCTTCCTTGTGTCTTTATTGCATGAGTACCGTGACCTACCTTCCTGAAGCTCAAGGTGGTGTAGATGGTTTCTCTCTCTGTCCACAAAACATTGTTGTGTGTGAGAGGGAGTGACTGTCCCCAAACCCCAGACAATTCACTTAATGGCTAGGTGGGAATTTAGCAACCTAGCTGTTCTAGCTGTTGCTGTGTGCAGGTGTGTAGGGTGTGTCTTTGTGTAGGGTGAAAAGCAGTTCTGTGCTAGGAAAACCAGAGTTATGAACTCTATAAAATAGTTGGATGGAGCGCTTCTTGATTTCCCACCTCCTGTGTCAACCTAGGGAGAAAGTGATGGCTTTTTTAGGTGACTGAAATGGATGCTAAGTAGGACTTCAGCACCCCGAAGATCAGTGCAGAATACATTTATACAAGGGCTGTCAATGAATCACAAGTGGCCCCAGAGATTTTATGGGTCTTGCATAATCCCCTTTTTCCTTTCAGAGCTACTGTGAGCCCCAAGCCTATCGCCCGATGCACCACGAAGACTTCAAGGAAGACCTGCGCAAATGCCGCACGAAGAGCAGGACCTGGGCTGGTGAGAAGAGCAAAAGGGAACACTACAGTCGCCTGAAGAAGCTCTGAGAGCCGCAAGAAGGGCAGCCAGATTTAGCCTGCCTGCCTGCCCTGTGGGTGAAAGCGGGGACACGTTAACTTCTCCATGTGCCTCGCAGGAATTGTTCACTCCTTGCATGGGCTTTGCTTCACCGTCTACTGAATCACTTCATGCAAGAACAAGCGGAGTCCACGGACTGCCATATTGCAGGCATGAACCCTTCAGGCGTTTGCATTCTGTCCATGAATCCAGGGTTTCCCCGTATGCTTCTGAAGACAATCCATTTAAACAGTGTGTATACAGGAATCAGGGTAGCATATAACTGCCGAGCAGAGTGTCGATCATGAGATTTTAATGTCGATTTTACAAATTGTGCCTTTTTATGTTAGTGCAGCCGGATGAAGCTAAGTTACCTGTGACTGGGTTTCCCGGGTTGTGTCATGGCCCTAATTTTGTACAAGGGGCAATGAGCAGGGAGGGTTTTTTTGAGACCTGACCCCACCCTCTGAGCCGCAGCTCTGATCTTGCCAGCATTTTCTTACCACACAGGAGTACATGTGGCGGAGGGGTGTTGGAAGTATTTTCGTGGAACGTGCATTTGCTTCCTGTAATGAAGTATTTATCTGCTGCCAAAGAGGAAGCTGTTTTATCATGTTCTAACTTATTCTTGGACCTTGTCGTCCCCTTAAACTTAGTTGCTTTTTAATGCGCAGGTGTGACATTTCACATGTGCAGCGCCTGGGGTGACCCTGGTGCCAAAACAGCCTGTCAGTGTTCAAATGCAAACTGCCGTCCCTGCATATATACAATCACACTCCCTGTGTGCTCGGCTGTGATTGTGGCATACTTCTAGGGCAGCCTCAACCTCATGCCCCCCAGATATTTTGGGCAGCAGTTCAGGCTGGGACAGGTGACTGTTACAGTTAGAACATCTGGTGGGCATCAGGTGGGCGCAAGCTGCCATAGAAGGTAAATCTGGCCTGGGTAGATCATGCTGTGTGCTTCTCCTTCCTCCAACTGTCCCCAACAGAGGTTTGCTAACCCTTTTTAAAGAATTTGGCTCCCAAGTCACTCCCTCATGCCTTATTGGAAGGGTGCTGGGAGGTAGTGACACGGCTGTTTGAGGAGTGTGGGCCAAAACAAATTCCAAACTGCTTTAAATTGCTCTAGTTACCAGTGTAAACCCGGGGGGCAGAAGGAGATGGAGTAGCTCAGAGACTATGTTGTGCCTGGCCAGAAAGTATTACAAGCCAGCTTGCTTCTAAACATTAGGGGAGAACAAGTGTTTTTTAGGGGGAATTAGTATTGCAAGCTATACTTTTCCGTAATTGTGTTTTGGTCTTTGAAACAAGCCTTCAAATATTACAAGAAATCAGTCAGTGGCTAAACTCAACCATGAGGCTGGGACGTTTTCTGCTTCATATTTGTGCAGATGTTTGGTTTTTGGCAATGTTGTTCCATATGCTCAAACTCTTTGAGCTGTGATGCAATTCCATGTCTGCATCAGATCTAAAATACCACCCCCTGGTTTGTTTGCTCTGCTGTTACTTGGCCTCTGTGCAGGTGATCAGCAGGTACCTCCAAACTGGGGTGGGATTAGAAGGCTCACTTCAATGCAAGCCAGTCCTCCCATTCACTGGTGAGGAAGGCTGCAGTCTTCAATAAGAGGTGGTTCTTGAACGGGGTGAATTGCCGTAGCGGAAGTCCAGGCTTTTGCCCTTTCTGCGACAGGGACCAGCGGTCTGCCAGACCATTCTACTGTTTCCTTGCTGGCTGCTTCCTGTGAATATTTATTCCACCTCCCCAAAGCACACTTCCTGGTATTTGGATATGTATTGTTTGTTCAAGTTGCTGTTTGTCTTTTTAATTTGACATTTGCACATAATTCATTTAAGGGTAGGAAAAACAGTGTGCTTTTTAATGTATTGTGAGTTATTTGAAGGGCGACGGGGACATTTTAAACGACCCTGGTCCTAATAAGGGCCTTGGCTGAAACCACCTGCTTCTGTGGCCTCGGGAAATAAAATGCCCAATACACAAGGTCTGTTTCTTTTGCCTTTTGAGCAGCTGGTACTAGATATGGTCTAACAAGAAAGGCCTGTCAAAAACACCTGATCGTACAAAATCTGCATAACGTTTTGGTGGGATTAAATCACAACTTTATTTACATCTTCCTGAAGAGCAGTGGCTTGTTTTGCATTCCCCTGGGCTCAGTTGAAGAGTTTTAAGTAAATTGTTTTCTGATTTGCATGTGGATTTAGGAGGGGCTGGTGGGTGGTAGAAGGCGAAGGCCCTACTTTGGGTTTGCTGGAGCACGTTGTGCAAACTTCAGCTTGTCGGTACATTGAACCTTCTCCTTTTAACAATTTGTCTTTCCATCCCATGTGTGTTTAATTTTGCTGGTGGAGATGGGGGGGGAATAGTGAGGGGGTAGATGCCAGGGGCAACAAGTCCAGGGCTAAACTCCTGCTGAGATCTTGTTCAGTAAGCCTTGACTGGTCCTTATTGCCTCTTAGGCAGGATCTTTTAGAGGGAGTCCCTCCCAGGCGGGGACTTACATGCTTTTGCTGCGATTGGGCTCAGGCCACTGTGCTCTGAAGTGGCTTCTTGAAAGTTTGTGGGTAGTGCTAAATACCACAGTTCCATCAGCTCATATGAAATCTGAGCAGAGGTGATCTGACTCTACATTTGCCAGTTCTGACATTTGCCGGTTGTTAAAAGATAATCTAACAGAAGAATTTTCATCTGTTCAGGAGAAGCTGTGGTATTTTGAAAGAGATGGCATGCTGCAATTACTTAATTGGTTAATCTGTTCAAAGGAAAAGGCTACTAACAGTTCCCCCTAAGGAGCTGGTTGATGCTTCCATTTTCAGTGATGCTATGGGTCTATGCTGTGTGCGCCCAAGTCCCCACTTGGTGGTGCTGCTGTTCCAAGCTCTAAAAATCTTGTCTGTTTCAGCTCTATGGGCTGGAAAAGGAGTTGTACACTTGTTCATTATTCCTTCTCACAGTGGCCTTGTGACTGTTCACCATGGTTCCTGTATTTACAGAAGGTGATTTTTTCAGGGCAATCTGTGATACGTGTTGTTGACAGAGGATTTAAACTTCTACTTTTTTTTAACTTAATAAATTCTGTAAGGATGTCTAAAATAAGAACCTCGACTGTTGCACAGTGTCAGAAGAAAGGAGGAGTATAACATGCAGGCCTCTTCTTTAGCTCTTTGATTTCATTAGATGCAGAATGAGATAAAGATCAAGCAATTCTCTGTGCGTTGGAAGTGCAATCTCAGTGATGCAGGAAACATTGGAAAACTGAATTGATAGCACTAAGGTTGCTCCATCACACTTGGTGTGGGTCTTTCATTTTACACAAGGCTACTCGGTAGTTCAAGGGACATGGGTGGTGCTGTGGGTTAAACGACAGAGCCTAGGACTTGCTGATTAGAAGGTTGGCAGTTTGAATCCCCGCAACGGGGTGAGCTCCCGTTGCTCGGTCCCTGCTCCTGCTCATCTAGCAGTTTGAAAGCACGTCAAAGTGCAAGTAGACAAATGGGTACCGCTCCAGCGGGAAGGTAAACAGCGTTTCCGTGCGCTGCTCTGGTTCGCCAGAAGCAGCTTAGTCATGCTGGCCACATGACCCGGAAGCTGTACGCCGGCTCCCTCAGCCTATAGAGCGAGATGAGTGCCGCAACCCCAGAGTCGGCCACAACTGGACCTAATGGTCAGGGGTCCCTTTACCTTTTTGCTCAATAGTTCATAGTCGGTCTTGTGTGTATGTGTGTCTCCAGTTTCAGCCCAGCAGCTAAGCTGCTGTACTCAACTCTTCTGCTTCCTATTTAAAATTGTATGGTAGCTTTCATCTATTAATGATTATGCTTCCTGGTTTCCACTGAAATCTCTGTCAGAGGCTGCTGCGTGGGTTAGTGTTTTTCCTTCTCCAGTGCTCCTCCATCTCTCTTCCCAAACAAAAGGACACTGAAGGTGCTCACAGGCAAATGTGGAGTTGCTTCTGAGTGAGCTGCGGCATATGATAAAACTGATATCTAGCGTGGGATAATGGCTTGCAAACCCTGGCCTCTGATTGGCTGCTTCAAACATTAAAAGTCGTCTTGTTTCCCTCACTCACCATAAAGTGGTACCCAGCCTGACACTGACATTAATGCCAGTTTCTGCATATGCTGCATATCCAAAGTGGCTTCATATAGAATAACAGAGCTTGGGTTTTTTTAAAGGTATATCAAGACAATTAAACTAGCAGTTTCTGTAAGTGTCAGACTATATCTCCTGGTGCCTCTGCCGAAGTCAAATGGCTGCAGAACCACTTCCATCTGGAGAATAGCTCATGCAGTAGAGCACGAGGCTCTTAATCTCAGGGTTGTGTGTTTGAGCCCCATGTTGGGCAAAAGATTCCTGCATTTCAGGGGGTTGGACTAGATGACCACTGTGGTCCCTTCCAATGCTGCAATTCTAGGATGCTGCATCCCCCAACCCAGTTATTGTAGAGGACCAGCCTGTGCAGCCTCAGGGTTAGGTCATGCAGGAGCCTAATGTGTGGGTGGTTGGGGCTCATGGTGTGGTCATAGAATCATATGCTTGCCCCTTTGGTTTGGGAGTTTCCGTGCTTGGGAAATTGTAGTCTTGCACCTTGGAAAAAGGCTCCTAAATGCCCCTTCTCCCTTGATGGAGAGCCATTGGTGCCTTTGGTAAAATGGCATCGCCACTACTATCTTTGCTCATCTAGTAGTTGATTAGCATAATGCTAAGCCACATGTAGGGACGCGGGTGGCGCTGTGGTCTAAACCACTGAGCCTAGCCTAAGGCTTGCCAATTGGAAGGTCAGCGGTTTGAATCCCCGTGATGGGGTGAGCTCTCGTTGCTCAGTCCCTGCTCCTGCCAACCTAGCAGTTCGAGAGCACAAGTAGATAAATAGGTACCGCTCCGGCGGGAAGGTAAACGGCGTTTCTGTGCACTGCTCTGTGCACCTTGCTGGCTCTTGTGCACCTCTTCTGTGCACCTTGCTGGCTCTTGGTTTCGTCTTGCTGGCCACATGACCCAGAAAAACTGTCTGCGGACAAACGTCGGCTCCCTCAGCCAGTAAAGAGATGAGCGCCGCAACCCCCGAGTCGTTCATGACTGGACTTAACTGTCAGGGGTCCTTTACCTTTTAAGCCACATGTGGGGAACCTATGACCCTCCCACATGTTCCTGGGTTCTAGCTCCCATCAGCCCTGACCATTAGGCATGCTTGCTGAGGCTGATGGGAACTGGAGTCCTACAGAATCTGGATGATCACAAGTTCCTCACCCCTGTGCTGTAAAGGCCCATAGACTGCCATCCTTAACAGGGCTGGAAGCAAATGTGAATCTATACAGATAAGCAAAAGTCACCAATGTTGACAGTAAGCGACAAAACAGGCAATTATCTCTACCCTTCTAGGCTATACTTCCTAGTACGTTCTCCCCCTGCCCCAATCCTGGCGGGAATTTTGCTATTTTGGAGGGCATGTGGAGCAAGCCAAACACTTCCTTCCCCCTTCATACCCTGGATTTTGTGGTAGCTGAGCATGGACAGACAGGGTTATGGCGGCGGTGGGGTTTACGTTAATTGTCTTGAGTATTTCTGCAGCCAGTGGGTTGTCCTGAATCCTTCTGCTGCTCCCTCTTGTGTCCTCATCATGCTGTTTTGATGAGATGAGCAACAATAATTGTCCCCCCCCCACAAGATTGGCATTAGCATTTTATGATGATGGGAGGTTGCTCTGGGAGAAGCCTGTCTTCAAAGAGGCTGCCTCGTAACAGCTGGTTCGTGTGAGAATGCATCCGGAATGAATTTACTACGGTCAGCAAAGAGATCAAGGTGACCTTGAAAGCCAACGGAACTTGCGGCAGCCCCATGAAGCACGGTGATTGTTCTGCTCTAGGCTCATAACTTCAAGGTGTGCCTTAGGGTGGACTCTTGACCATCTGCCTGGTGCCATCTGCACGCACTCGTGTGCCCCTCCAGTCCTAAGGGCTGGCATCTGTATGCTTGGGTGGGGACGACACACAGCCCCTGGCACTGCATAGAAAGCTTCTAAAGGGGGGTTGGATATTCTGCTTTTCAGAAAGTGTATCGTGACAGGTTCCCCCACCAAAACCCAGTTAAAATTTTTGACCTCACTGGTGGTAGATTAGCCCAAATATACATTCTCGTGCACTGAAAATTATTTTTAAAGTTCTCGTCCGAGGCTATGCAGGGATTGCTAACCCTGGCTCACCCTTACCTCCAATGGATGGTTAACTAAAACACTCCACCCAGAGCCTCCTAATAGGGATGCAAACTGTTCCCTCCTTGGTCATCACACTTGATCATTTGGTGAGAGGAGAGGAGGTGCCAACCTCCTTCTGCTGATCTGCATGGAATGACTCACAGATATGGGATAATTACATCCACCACTGGCATATGGTTCTTGGAGCATTGGCCAAAGCAAGGGCTTTTTTCTTTTTAAGATAGATAGGTAAAGGTAAAGACCCCTGACCATTAGCTCCAGTCGTGACCGACTCTGGGGCTGCGGTGCTCATCTTGCTTTTTGGCCGAGGGAGCCGGTGTACAGTTTCCGGGTCATGTGGCCAGCATGACTAAGCCGCTTCTGGTGAACCAGAGCAGCGCACGGAAACGCCGTTTACCTTCCCGCTGAAGCGCTACCTATTTATCTACTTGTACATGCTTTTGAACTGCTAGGTTGGCAGGAGCAGGGACCGAGCAACGGGAGCTCACCCCATTGCGGGGATTTGAACCACCGACCTTCTGATCAGCAAGTCCCAGGCTCTGGTTTAACCCACAGCGCCACCCGTGTCCCTAATAGATATGATAGTCACCTTCAAATATCTCAAGGGCTGTCACATGGAAGGTGGAGGAAGCTTGGTTTCTTTTTTATTGATTTGTTAGAACAACAAAAGTGCAAATATAACACACAATCAAAGAATCAAAAGGTAAACCAGAAGTACAAGGATGCAGCACAGCCCCAAAGGGATAATAAAATAAGAGCTGTTCAACAGTGG